GTAGCCAATCAGCACCCCCATTCTGGTTCAAGTCTACTCAGCTATGTGCCCACTGTGTAACCTTGAAAAGGTACTAAACCTCTCTGGTCACAATAGCCTCTTTTGAGAGATGATTACTAATCTTATCACCAATCTCATTATTGAGTCATGAAGGCTAATAATACTCAGCACAGATGGCTGAAGTTGGTGATGAAGTAGAAGTCACAAACTTCACATCCAGTCAGGCCTTCTCTATTGTGATGAGGGTCTGTTTTAATGCAACCAGGGACTAATACTGTTCTATCACTAAGTTGGGAGCCCAAGAGATTCCTCATTTCTTGTGATAGTCTCATGTCCTGGAAGTCAAAAGACACAAGTCCCTCATCCCTGAGTCTGCAATCCCAGTAATGAAGAGAGTGAGAGCTATGTTATTATGTCACAAAACCAACTCATATACCAGTTTGTGCTGATCAACACAGGCTAGTAGTAGACTTTGGAGGTTAATTTGGTGAACTCTTAGAAGTTTATGTTTTTGCATCCTATGGATGCTAATGTAATATAACACAACTGTTTTCCTGCACTCCACAGAGTCAGCTTAGGTGAATATGCAAATTTTACCATTATGCTGTTCAATTTTAAGGGTAATTAAATATTTGCTTTGAATTCTTCACTTGGCAATGCAAATTCATAGAAACTTTTTTTATTTCTGCACCTAAAGCTTCTTTTGCACTAAATCTTTGCCATTCATTCCTTTTCACTGACAATTCCTTTTCAACCTAACACCACAACCTTATATGAATCTCTATTGGCAAAGAAATTGTCTTTTTCCTGTTTGTGTCCACCTTTGCCCCTTTATCAGCTGGACAAGGGAGTGTTTGGGGTTTTTCCCTATGAGAAGGTCTCTGGCTTGACCATCTGTCCCAGGAACACCTTTATGAAACGGGCCAGTCCCGCCAAGTCTCTCTGGCCACACTAGCACCCAAGTGAAGCCAAGACAATATAATTTATTCAAAATGACTGTTAGAAATTGTGTGGATTTACAAAGGGTCACTTTACAGTTAAATTTAGAAAAAGAATTTAAATTCTTTTTCTAAATTCTGTCATAGTAGTTGATGTCTGCCAACAAAAACATTTCATGCCTTCTCTTTCTCAAGAGCTTGTGACTGTGTGTGTATGTGTGTGGGTGCGTGTGTGTTGGGGGGAGGGGGGCAAGTTCAGCAAAGCAAGAATTGACCAAGCCAGGCTGAGCTCAGAGCAAAATGAGGGATTTGTGTATTGTTCATTGGGGTAATAATGAGATGGTTCAGCTGCAGATACCACTTGGTATCTTCTCTCAACAGGCATCTCCCCTGTCTTTCTCAGGTTTTCATACACCAGCCACCTGTTTCAAGTCTTCCTTCTCTCCCTTCCTTTAATCAGTCTTGACTCTTATCCTTGCTTCCTTTATATTTTTGCCTTTTTCATTCTTTACACTCCTAGCTCAAGACCTGGTTTCCTCTTGCCTGTAACAGCAGAACAGCCTCTAACAGACCTGCACCATGGCCACATTCACCTCACACAAGATGGTTACATCATGTCACTTCTCTGCTCCAAAACCTTCAGGGTGAATACACATAATTTTACCATTCTTTGACCAATTCTGATTTACTTTTTCAGGAATATTCCCCATTAACTGCTTAGATATTTTCCAAGTTCCAGCCAAGCTGCAAATTCCCTGTAGTCACCACCCCCAAATCACCTCATTCTGCTTTCTCTACACAGAACAAAGCTTAAAGTCTAGAAACTCCTACCCATCTTCAAATCCCAAAGTTAAACAGAACATATACATATACATTTATATTCCAATCCGGAAGTTGTTTACAGAGATTTATAGAGGCTGATAGGTATAATAAATACATAGAAGAAATGACTATTTCCTCAAAGAATTTTCCACAGAAAATAAGGCTAATGAATATTAACCAAAAAAATATTTCAAATCCAATCCTATTTATTTTTTCAACTTTACCTCCTGCTACTCCTAATATGATTCTTCTTCACCCGATAGTGTCATCATCTTATTGCCTCCTGCTTTGATTTTTTTCCTTCTTTCTTTTCCATTCACCTGAAATGCCAATTTCTCTGCCTTTCATAAGCTCCTGCTACAAACCACCTTCAAAACTTGGCTGAAAACTTCTTTGGTTTCCTTATGAGCCTGTCCTGCCTGTGCCTCTCAGCTATGGGCCCATTTCTTTGCTAGTGGCAACTCTAAGAAAGGCACCATTTGGAAATTAAATAGAATCCCCCCCCAAAAAGTCAATCACAAGCCATGCTGAAGATGTCTGAGCTTCCATGAATAAGTATAAATGATGTAATAGCAGAAACTGCATTTCCTCTTTCTTTAGACAAGATCTCTCTTCCCACTGCCCTCTGCCCAAGGTTAGGAGAGGCAGTGCAAAGCCATGCTCTGTGCTTACTCGAAGAATGAATGTGTTCAGCTGTGGACACATGTTCAGTCTAGAAATTATATTGTTATATCCTCTTTCTAGATGTGAGTATTAAAAATGTTTCATAAAACAATCTCAGTCAAATAATGGGGAAATTACATTGGGCAAGAGCTTTACAATCATCTTAGGTGTTGTAGGTAGTAAACTGCTTTATCAAATAAAGGTTTGGTCTATTATCCATCTAAAAGCCACTAGGAAATCACAATTAGAGACAGATGGCAAGCAAGGCGTTCCTTCCTTTTACCACTTAGTACATGTGATATTCCCAACAAAAGGCCACCGAATGTTTTCCTGTTTCTACACAGTGCCACATAAGCTCAGAAAAATAAACCTATTTCTACACCTGTGCAAATGACATTAAACAAAGTAACAGCTTCAAAAGTAAAATATTTTGTTATGTGGCTGAATCAAGGGACTTTTTATATAGCTTTATATATATATATATATATGTAAATTGCAATGCATAAAAAGTGCTTCTAAATCTTTAACTACCCTATACATTCAGTCTGAAACCCTCCCCAAGATAATAACATTCAAATACAAGACTCCTATATCACACAGATCATATTAGGTGTTTTTAATATAGGAAATAAATAGTACTACAAGCAAAAATCAGTTATAGAGCATTTCTTGACTATAACATCAATAGCCACAAGTTTTTAGTGTAGATGCCATTTCCCGTAACCACATACATTTCAAAATGAATTTTTACTGTCATGTTTTGAGTAATTATAAATTTAACATGGCTGTTAAACCAGCATTATAAACTATGTAATGTGAATATATATAATCCTCCATAAGCACACAGCTCTATAAGTAATAAAATACCAGATTTCAAACTCTAAAAAGTAAAAGTAGTTTTCACACTGACTTTCAAGAATATACATTTTATTATTACAATTCAGTAAACTATTTTATCAAAGTTTACATTCAAATAAAAAATCAATTGTTTCTTTTATAATCAATATCATGAAACAAGTAATTATAGCTGATATAAAATAGTTAACCTACTTACTATCGCACTTTAAATCTAAAAGGCATATGTTATTATTAAATGTTATTTTGGTTTTTTTCTTTTCAAATATATATATGCATATATATGCAAACACATATGTAGATATGAATTACTATACCAAGATATTGCTACTATCCTAATCTGTTCCACCAAACAAATTTATATCTAAGATGTTCTCATTCTGAAATATCAGTGCCCACTGGACATTTTAAAAACCCATGTGTGAAAATCTATTTTATTTAATTTCTTAGAAAACTTCTAGTTCAACCTATTTTCCTTTGTGAATTCTCCCTTGCAACATCATTTTCTCATCTTACAATTTGCAATTATTGATCTCTCAAAAAGCAAGGACATAAAGCAAAGTGAAAGAACTAGTGTAATAGGAAGATAAGAAAACAAAGTCCTATTATCCAAGTGAGCAATACCCAAGACAAGTTTTTTTTTTTATCTTAAACATATAGCACATTATAGTCATAATCAGCTTCCCACCATAGTTAGAATTATACATACACATCTCCCAAAACAAGCCTTTTAAATAAAGTATTGTAAGCAGCTTTTTAGCTTAAGAATTCAAATAGCAATGAAGTCTGATCCTTCCATCATTCATCTCTATAACTAGAAGACAAGCCCCAAAGATGTAAATCTCACCCAATGAGACAAAGATGCTGGATGCATTGTAAATTGCTAAGTCATTTCTTAATTTTAGGATCTAGCACCTCACATAGCCAAATAAAGTGAGTGGTGAGCCCATACTTTCATGCTGCCTTACGAGAGTTCCAGAACGCATGTACATCCTAAATGTACAGTGGGATCGGATTGCTAGGAGCCAGGAAACGTAGCAGGACTCAGAGACAGCAAATCTGCCCCATCTACTTATTATTCAAGCACCAGCATTTAGAATACCTAAAATGCCTGTAAGACTGCGGCTCAGCGTCCCCCTGGGGTTACTCCGAAGCAGAACCACATCTCCCCCTCATGATTACTGACTTTCCAGGAGGCAGGTACCATGGGGTAGAAATTCTTGTGCAGCGGTAAGATAACTCTTCTCTCTGAATTTTCAGAACCAGCATCCCCACCCCACATACACATGCATACATCTCTCTCTCTCTCTCTCTCTTTTTTTTTTTAAGAAAGAAAGGAGGGTTTTTCAAATAGGTGTCTAAAACATGCCGTTTACACCATGTATTTTTCCTCTACTTGCTGCTGGGTAAGGTTGTTTACAGATCTGATTAGAAAACCTGGATGTACATAAAAAGTAGCGCTTTCAATAAGATTCCTTTAGTGAAATCTGCCTTCTGCCTGCACAGACATATGTGTACATAAATAATACATTTTTATGCAAACATGCCTACATTAACAAGGACACACACGCACACCTAGATCAGTAATTAAGCTTATAGTGTCTACAAGCCCCCTTGACATTTTAGCATGCACGGTATTCAGAAGACAGAATTTTAAAAAATAATAAGCAGCTGCATATAATGCATGCCAAAGTGGCATGTTTAGAAGAGCAAATACATTACCAGACGCATTTTGAAGTTTCTGGAACACCTGCAGATAAAAGGAGACAGCGAGGTGGGTGCTGGCACTCGTTATTCCTCAGAATCACAGAGCTCCGTGACACTGTGGGGGAATGTGAGCGAGCGAGGCTGGAAACCTTTGAGTTGAGCTCACTCTAGGCTTCAGAAAGCCTCCAAGAGGGGAAAGAAAAAGGCAGCCCGCAGACAGCGAGATGAGAAACTTCTGGCTCCTCTCCAGCTCAGGAATGAATTCTCTGTAATTTGGAGACGTATAGTGATGGAAATGAAGAGAAACTTGGATTTACGGTGCATTTGCTCAGCCATGCAGAAATGGGCAGGTAACAGTCTCTCAGCTCAGTTTAAAACAGTCATTCAGGAACAAGACTGAATCAAAAAATTAACAGGGATCCTCTTTTGAAAAAATTGAAAGGCTACTCCAATCAGGTTCCCAAGATGCCTTTACAAACTTCAAATAGATCATTCCATCAGCTATTTGTTGCACATTTTATTAATCCCAGTGCAGAGGTAAACTGGAAAATCTAATTCCTTTTATGTAGAAAACGGGATTTATTGCTTCTTTTTATAAAGCACTTTAGTCATATAACTACATAGATTTACTTACAGAATTCTCATTTCTTGTGTAAAACCACCACTGTTTGGTCCAGATAAAATGCTAAAAAGCTTGTTCAAAGCTTTTCAAGGAAGTACAGAGAAATGTTTTAATACTCAGAAGCTGAGCTGAGGACAGATATTTAAATGTAGTGTTTGAAGCAAAGAGAGTGGAAAGGAAAAGCCTTGAGCCATTAAGCAGCACAGAAGAAACGTGGCTGTGCAGAGCACGGAGCAGGCAGGTGGTTCAAGTCTATAAATATATACATAATTAAGGAGAGGAAGAAAAGAGCCCAGCAAATTAAGTTCTTAGAGACAATAGCTGTGATTTTGCTTAGGTCTATGAATGGGCGGATAATTTCTGGGGGCAACGTGGACTTCACCTTGTCTGAAGAACTCCTAAGCTCACCATGGAGAGGAGCTTGGGAGGCAGGCGCACTGGCCATCTATATTCAAATGCGATGAGGAGACGGACGCTATTACCATGACGAATGTTGTCATAGGACTTTGTGACTGTGTGGCTTAATTACGCAGCCAACCTTGCACGCGGCCATTTGCCTCAACTCAATACAAATATGCATTGACGGGCGGGTGGAGGTGGGAGGCCAATTTATTTGTTTTACTCTGCATGCTCCTTTGGGAGGCTCAGGGATTAAACGCCTGGGCTGAAAGTGGGAGGGACTCTTTTCAAGGCCACCGTTATCTATAATAAATTCAAAGTGGAATTAATGATGACCAATTAAGCTATTTATTATTTTAACTCTTGAGGTCAAGGGCAAAACAGTGTTTATGTTTATTGATAGTGGGTCGATGGCAGAACTGCTGAAGGGGGCCGGCTCAATGATCACACCCTGACCGGTGGGCTGCAGGTGCCTCGCAGGCCTGGGCCTGCTCTTTGCTGTCTAGGAGATGATTTTCCTGCTTCTCCACTGCCATCTGTCTCATAGTAAGTTGGCTCCTTTCCCAGGACTGTGGAGAACACGGATGATGAAGAGAAGACCCTTCTTCAAGGAACTTGCCTGGTGAGGCTGACCACACCAGGGGACAGCATATCAGAGGGTACAGACCTCTGCTACCACAATCACTGCCACCCCTTTTTCCATT